AGAACATAAAAGATAGGTTAAACCAAAAATTCTGGTTTTAATTACGAAGAAGCTATACTACTGGTGAAAGACGAAGATCGACGGTGGTCATTAATGACAAGATTGATGAAAGAAGAGGTTAATTTTTTAGTGTTTGTTCTTTGTTTAGAAAGAACATAGAGAAGGCAAGTTTGTTTGAGAAGAGAAGTCAGAGAAGGTAGAATTTTGGTTATTTTTACTGTTTATTATATTGCAGAACAATGATTCGCACTTTTTTTTTGTGCATGTAAGCCACAGCCGTAACGAAAAACCTTATTTGAATAAATTAAAAAATGTTGCAACCTATATTGAACCAAATTAAAGTTAAGATCCTTAATTGAAAAACATACAAACATTATATCCTTAATTTAGCATTTTGCCTTAAATTTATGTGTATGTATGTATACATATGTATAAGTTTTCTAAAATTTAAAAGTATCTATTTAAAGAAATATATATTCATATTTCTTTATTGTTTCTTTATACATTATTAATTTATACATTATTTTAGTATTATTTTATTATCTTGAATTCTTTATTATTTATTTTAATTATAAATTATCTTTATTTTTATATTTAGTACAAAATATTCTTTATTTCTAGTGTTTAACTTGAATTAATTTTGTTAGACAAAAATCAAATTTTATGATAAAAGAAATTCCTAAGAATTTAGGAAAAAATATCTCTTATTAAGTGATAATAAGGTATGAAAAAACTATTAATGATAATTTAAGAATATTGATAATATTAAGAATATATATGTTAGATAACCAAAGGAATATTAAAAAAAGTTAACAAATAATGGTAGGTAATCAAAAGTCTATTGAGTATTATATAATAAAATTAAGAAATTTAGGTTTATAATTTATGTAAAAAAAAATTGATTTAACCAAACATCATTCCATTTAACTTGACATTTAGGTATAATTGAACCATAAGTTAAAAGAAAATAAAAAATCAATAATATACATGTTAGATAACAAAAGTTTATAAAAAGTTAACAAATTAAAGTTTTAAGAAGTATAAATACAAAGAAAATCAAAAGTTAAGAACTAATAAATGTTAGACTACCCAATGTTTATTGTATTTAATTTAAACTAAGGGAAAAAGGTGATTTCTCACAATGGAAATGTTTATTATTTTTATTATATTATTTAATTTAATTTATTTTTTAAAAGGACAAAAGTTAATAGACTTTAAATCCCATTTTATAATAAATAGGTATTTATATTGTCTTAAACATCAAAATCCATTTGTATATGTCTTTTGAGAAAAGAAACCAAAATGTCATTACCTTATCCTTAATTTCTTATGATACAAATACAACTTACATTTTAAATAAGGATGTTAATTTAAAGATTTTTGGACTATACCGATTATGAGGTACCATTTATTTTGAAATTGAATGCTCAAGATTTTAGTTTTTGAGGAAAAGACAACTTATTTGAAAAAAAGAAATCATTACTTATGTGAAACACTAATTTTGGTTATTAAGAATGTGAGTTTTTTATTCAAAATTTGAAACTTTTATATCATTAAAAAAATTTAAGATATGAATATTGTTGTATTTTTTATATCCAAATATTAAAATGATAAAAAAAATGAAATCAACTAAATGAAAAAGAAAAAATAATTACTCTTTATCATTGTGATAGATGATTGATTTTTTATGAAATTATTTTTTGAACAAATTAGTTTTGCTTATTGTGGTAATCAAAGTTGAATTTCAAGATAAAATTTAAATTTAAATAATATAAGTTTATGAATGTGGACTCCTATTGTGCTAAAGGAGTAGGAAAATAACTTAGAATACAATTAATTAGTTGACAACATGTAATCAGCATAAATTACTTGATCATAAATTCTTACATATTTGAATTTATGCATCAAAGATTGACAAAGAAAAAAAATACATATAATTAAATATTAAATAATGAAACATATTGTTTTATTTGTATTATTTATTAAACAGTGAAACAAAATTTGGTAAATAATAAGAAAATATTGATATTATCAAGATAGTTGCTACTTAAATAATGTGATTTACGATCTTATAAAGTTCTAGCCATGCAACACAATTTGAACATGCAATATAATTCTCGAAATGTGCTGATATAATTGGATCATCCATTTGCCAATGGTGAATACCAACCTTTTGACCAAAAGAATATGAAACAAATTCAAAATGCATGAAAGGCTCCAATGTAACCATATTCTAACTAAAGATCGATACTTTCTAATTTCTTCTCTTAAAATCGAGTTAAATAATTGTTTCAACAAAAGGGACCCATGGCTATTATGAAGAGATAATAAGCAAATACTATATCTATGTTGGTAAAGTTTATCTCCCGCTTCATATCCCATGGCAAGCATGCTATTCCTTTAAGAAAACTATCTTTATAGCAAAAGAAATGCAAATCGGAAACAAAAGGTGTTGTCGGAGGCTTCAACCTCATGTAAAATGATAAAATTTCCTTCTCATTAGTTGTCATTTCATTCACTTTTCTAATATAAGTTGTAAGATCCACTTGGGAAACAACCTTGGATAAATTCTCCACATTGAGCAACCTTTTGTTGCTGCATTTTTTAATAAAAAATAATTGACATTTAAAATTGGGAATAATACAAATCAATTCATTGAATTGAAGTATAATATACAAAACCAACCTCAAAATCAGTCTTACAAAGTTATTTGCTGAATTTTTGGCAATGTGTTCAAATATGGTATGCAGAATTTCAAAAGGAAAGCTCTCTAAATGTATCATATTTTCCATCTTATAATTATTCAAAACAAAATAACTATTTCTAACAAAAGAACGAAACAAAGTAACGAAACATCATTTTAATTTATATACATTGATTGGCATATGAAAGGTCATCTCAACTTTTCCCATAATATTGATAACAAATAACACAATTATAATAAATAACATTAATGAATTGAAAAAAGAAAAAAAAAAAGATAAAGATCTTAGAAACATATTTATATTTGGGAATTAGAAAGATCATGAACTTAAAAAATTATAATAAAATTTAATAAATATAAATTAGAAACATATTTGTATTCAAGATTCAAGATTAAGCTAGGAAAATAAGTTACATTATAATACTATAAATACTATGGTTTGACAAAAAAAAAAGTAATAATGAATTTGATTTCTAAAATTGTTAGATAATAAACTTACATTATTATCTATTTATTTTGAAATCTACATTATTAGCTATTTATGTTGAGATAATTGAAAAGTTTCAAGAAGTTATGTCTATTACAATTCCACATTAACAGTTAAATGTTAATAAAACTTATTAAATAAATAAATAAAGGTGTGTCACTTCAAGCAAATATTACCTGTTATTCTAAAAGATAAATGTCAAGAAATGGTAGAATCTCGTATTAATAGATCGTACGTATGGAGAAAGTGCACTATGTTCACTTTGAAAACTAGCATACAAGTATTAGATTATGATGATAACGGTAATATGGATGAAGATAATGTTAGATTCAATCATTGGTTATTAAACATTGGAGAGGGCAAAGTACAAGCAATTTGTAGACATGAAGAACTTGATCCATGTTGGATTGAAATTCTCAAAGAATTTATTGTTAACACAAACAGAAGACCAATAAACGCAATAATTAATGCTATTATCCAAATTTTGTGAGAGACAAAATCATGGAAACTACCTTTTTGAAAGGTTGATTCTCACTCTTTTTAATGAAACAACACATGAGATTAATGAATGTATGATAAATTTATTAGAAAGTTAAATGAGAATTTACAAAAAGCAGTGATGAGATATGCAAGGGTTCTATGAAAAATGATGAACAAAATGATATGTATCCGGCTGAGTTCTTAATAGTTTAGATTTCCTTGGTATGCCTTGCCATTTGTTAAAGTTGAAGACTGGTATGCTTGTTTTGCTATTAAGGAATGTAAATCCATGCTCGGGAATGTGTAACGATTCATCCTTGATTATTACTTAATTCAATGATTGGGTGGTTGAAGGTAAGATAATGTTTGGAACCAATATAGGATCCAAAGTATTGATTCCAAGGATATCGATAACTTCTCAACAAACAAGATGGTCATTTGTTCTAAAATGAAGGCAATATCCATTAAAGCCATGTTATGCAATGAAAATTAATAAAAGTCAACGAAAGTCATTGAAATATGTTGGTTTATATTTATTGAAAATAGTTTTCAGACATGGCCAGTTGTGTGTGGTCCTTTCTTGTGTAGCTTCGCCATGAGGGTTAAGAAATGTAATTTTAGAAGAGGTAGTAGGTTTAAATATCATACAAAAAATATTATATACAAAGAGGTTTTTAATGGTATATTTTCATAGATAACTTAGTTTAATATTTTCATATTTTAATTTCATGTCTTGAAGAAATAAATTATTATACATTTTAACGAATAAATTATTATACTTTTGTTATTACAAATCTAGAAACCATATTATCAATTTCATGTGTTTACATTTGTTGTGAGGATTTTATTTGCACGATTTTATATTATAAAATTAACTGTGCAAAGTACGGGCATAAAAACCTAGTATTATTGATAATTCAATTTGACAAACATGAGTACATGACAAGCCTTATTTGCAGCTAAATTATGTTCAATATAAGGCAAAACTGTGAATAAGTTTGCCTTCATTATCACTTAAATACATTACTGGAATTCATAGAATTGATTGGTTCCTACAATCAATAAATCTCATTATCTTCAAATTCTTAGATCTATCTTGCATGTTTTTACTTGTATAAATCCCAGTACATATAGTCAACAAATATAAGGATCAGATCATCATTTGGATGGGAAACAGAAAAGCTGATCCGAGAAACTTAATTAATATAGCAGAATGATTAACTTCTTGAACGAAATCCAATTTTGAATCTTCATTTTTCAAAAGAAATAAAGAGGTGAATAGTGGAAAAATAATGAAAGAAAGCAGCATATGTAAATACTCTTCTTAATTTGATAGTTGGTAAAGTACTATTTCTCAATCGCAGAAATCATAAGAGAGAAAGTTAAAATTTGGATGTCAAGCATCACCTGCACTCGTATAAATTCAAAAGAACTCTCTGGTATTCTTACTACTTGGCTGATCCAGATAAGGCTCGGGCCCTAACCGTAGCTCAAGATCCAATTCTATCTGAGATGAGGAACCATGAATCAACCGCAAATTATCCTCTTCATTCTCGCCGCAAGTCCCCTCAACGAATAAGGGTAGCTGCTGAAGTTCTTCAAAAGCATGTTTGCCGCTAGGACTGGCACTGGCAGTGGAACCATCACCATCCCTGGAAAGGTTACATGGTCTTTTGGGACTCGAAATTTTTTCTTCACTAGATTGTAGTATGATTTCGGAAACCTGGGAATGATCGTGATGATCAGGTGGAACATTAACCGTCTTTACCATGTACAAAGGAAGTACGTTTTCTTTGGACGATTCTCTAAGCTTTGCCCTGTCTTTTCTGTGGATGTTCATGTGACCCCCTAGCGCTTGTGCATTTGAGAAGCCTTTTTTGCAAAAAGAACATGTATAAGATTTGGCATGGCCTGAATGCTCGTCTTCTAAGCTCCAAACTATTTGGTCAGACTTTTCTAGTTTTGGGTGCTTTGTCTCCATTTCTAAGCTTGAAAGAAAGAGATGAAAAGATGGAGGAGAGCCAGAGCAAACAGAGTCAACTAGACGGTTATGAATGATGTTTTATATCAGGAAGGTTTTTTTAAAAAATTTTAATCTATTTTTAATCCTTCTATAATTTTAGAAAATATTAGGCGCTTAAATTCTCTCGACATTTAATCTTCAAAAGTCTATCCAATGTGCATGTATCTGATACTTAATCAACGGAATACTTAAACTCCAAGCAAGTCTGATTGTTACTTGCATGCATGGACAACAAATTTTTATTTGGAAGGCCGAGTAAACGTGTGATTAACCAAAATGTCCTTTCTAAATGGTCAAAGAGGAAGCAGAATACAAAGTTTAAATTGGTTAAAAATGCCCGAATGGTTTTTGAATTTAGATCTCCAAAATAGATGTTTGACTCTTTCATAAAATTTTAATATATTTTTTAATTAAAGTCATTAGATATTGAATTATGATCGCTTAAATTAAAATTTTAATTATTGGTAGAAATTTTCAATGTTGATAACAAGAGAATCTTTGATTCTAAGAAGTTAATTGGGTTAATATTACAAATAACTAATGAATTATAGTAAAATATTTAATATGATACTTAAATTTTAAAAATTTTTAATGTGATATTTGAATTATAAATTTGTTAATTAATACAATATTTATCTCTAACGTGGTTAGCTCTAAATAATTACATATAATAGATTAATAACTCTCCAAATATCATATTAATAACATTAATAATTTAGGTATTGCATTAAAAATTTTTTAAATTTAAATACTACATTAAATATTTTTCTATAATTCAAGAACTATTCATAACATTGTGAAATGTAAAATTACAATGCAAACTTTTACTAAATTTTATACTTTTACCAAAAAAGAATTTTCTTACAAATAAATTTAAGACAACCCATTAGCTATTACGCCCATAACTTTGGATATAAACTTGTAACAAATCAAAATCAAAACATGAAAAATAATTATATTTTTCTCAAAAACCAACTTTAATTTTGAGTCAAGATAACATTTTCACTCCTGTCACAGTTTTCAAATTACGATTCGTGGAATTTCAGTAGTATCAATAGTTAGAACAGTAAACATATTTCTTAATCAATTGATTAAGTTCTTGCTTTTCTTGTTTATCAATTATTCAATTGACCTTATTATATTCTAATATGAATATATATATATATATATGTATGTATGTATGATTCAAGTCCTGTTGACCACTCTAAGGGCAATACCAACCATGGGCTTTGGCCACATCCTAGTGCTCGGATTCAAAACAACATTAAATCCTTTAAATGCTAATTATTTATCTTTGGGGTAACTTGTATAATTACGTAATTCATTACAACATTATCATAAATTAAACTCAAACCGTAAGTATTTTAGCATGCTTGAAGAAAGGTCTGCATCGCTGTCTTTTGTTGTTTTTGAAACAGAAGTTGGTTACCATGAGTTAATCAATTAGTTTATAGAAAAATCTCTTCATCGTCAAGTTACTCCAGCTTGGCAGAAATGATCCAATTGATAGGAAAAGGCTGCTTTTATATAAAATCTTAGTCCAATCCTTGGTTATCAGATGTGAGATCACTTTGCTTTTAATATTAACTCTCTAATCAAGGGTATGAATAGTGTTTTCACTGACTACGTAGGTTTGCTGTGAGGTGTTATCTGCTCTAGGGTTCGAATGTTTATTCTCATGATTTTGCCATTTAATAAAACGGTGTTTCGATAAGATAAAGGTGACCCTTATATAAAGTCACAATGCAATTCTTAGTTATTATAGGTGAGATCATTTTCTCCCTCAACAACTACTTAGCTAACTCCTCAGCAGATCCTTTTCACCTTAGTTTTTGCCTAACCAAGATTCACAAAAGTTGACTTTTGATTATAAATCTTTGTTCTTGCTGATTTTTTTAATCAATTTCCAACCGTCTAATCTAATGCAACGTGCCATGCCCATTTTGTTTAAATCCTAAATAAGTCTTTTAGTTTCTCTCTCTTCTTAAATATTATCTTGGGTAGGACCACATCCCCTACAATTACTATATAGTAAAATTAATCCATCATAATTCAGCATCGAGTGGGATTCATTAAAAAAATTAAGATTTATATTTAATGTAGATGAATTTATCTTATTAATTATATGAATCGAATAATATCATCTTATTAATTAATAAATTTTTTATATAATTATTTTAAAATTAAATTTACTTATTAATAAAGTGATATCATCTAATTCTCTAATAATATATAAAATTTATACACGATAACGTATTAAATATAAATTCAAAAAATTATGTAGAGCCTGTATTTTTTAAGTGGCAGACTCCCACATAATTCTTGATTATATTAGCTAATTATAATATTATAATAAATAGAATTATATAATGTTTAAGAAGAGAATACATTTTTTATTAGGAAAGACATTTTTTTAAGTTATCAAAAATTAAATTTTGATAACTTAAATTAATTAAAATTTTCAGTATCACACAATATTTTATCTTTTTCTATAAATGCAGAGGATTTTATCATTTAGATTAGTTGGTACTTGGTATACCTTTCTTAATTTTTGTTTCTTAGCACAAGAAAAATATATTATGGTTTGAATTTGAAATTCAATTATATATTTATATATACGGAAATATCAGTACGCCTTACTCCTTGATCGTTTAAATTCAAGTGGCACTAATTATCATTAGCGTTTCATTAAATCTCTTAAATGTGCTTTCATATCTAATAATAACCTTGTTAAATACTCTCCCTGTCTTTTTTTTTTTTTTGGCTATTTTTTCTTTTTGGAATGTTTCAAAATTATGTCCTTTTCATGTTCTTGAACATTTAAAATTTTTACTTTTTATATTTTAAAATTATTTTTTATGACTTTTTTTTACTTTTTAACATTAAAATTTATGAAATTTTAATTTTATAGAAAAATTTAATTTTAATATTAAATATATTAAAATCAAAATTTTTTTTAAACTTCATAAAAATCAATACATCCCAAACATTTGAAAATAAAAGGAGTACTTAACTTTTTATATTTGTTTAATCTCTTCTATTTCTACATAATGTCAAATTTCATTTTAAAATTATTCATCGGACTGCACTCAGTTGACATGTTTAAAGTTTTACTCAAGATCTAGTCTAACCTACCCATTAGATTCAATTAATGAACTCATTTACTTTTTAAAATAATATTAAAATATTTAAATTTTTAAATATATTTTAAAACTACAATTTTTTTTAATAAAATAATAATTTGGGTTGAATCTAAATTTAAAATCCTCTTTTTAAAACTTAATTCGAGTCAAGTTTAATTGCAGATTTGATGCACACTTCAGTCCATAAACAAATCTAATTTGCTAAATTAACCTAAAAATGAAACTTTTCCTACAAGTAATTAAAGGATGCAACTGTGATCATATAAAAGCTTTGACCTTTTTTTTTTTTCTTAACTCCAATAATTTTTCGACAAATATAAAAATTACTAACCGAGCTTATTAAGAACATGCATGGCAGATGATTGAAGAAATTAACTATAGGACCATGGAAAGCATTACGTAGACTTGACGAGAATTGAAACGTGGAGGCAGAACCAAAGGTTATAATTAATTAAGCTGAAATTGGAGGTACAGTAGGATACTTGGATTATAAAATTATTAATTATTGTTAAATTAATTACAATAATATGTATTTTAGAACCAATGAATGATTTTGACATTTGAGTGGGTTTTAATAATTTAATGATTTAATTTTATAAGGTCCGTCATCACCGTCTGTTAACAGCTTCATGATGTGGCAGGATTCTGATCAAAACTAAGCATTCGCATGGTACAATGACGCAGCTGCTGGCTAGCACTAGATAAAGACACTTCAATAAAAATAATTAGTTGCTCATGCAGCGCATCTGAAATGTGCCATCCCACCTTCCGAACTTAAAAAAAAACATGGTTTGATCAAAATAGTCCCATATACCAACATCTATGTCTAACCTCCACATATGTTTCATAATCCTACTTGTAACTTAAAAGACAAGTATTTTTTTTTTCTTATGATCATTTTGGATACTTTTCAATTCTTTTAATATTTAAAGTTATCAAAATTTGAATAGTCGTTACGGAATCTTTCAATTTTGATGGGAAATATAAGACCTGACTTTCTGAGAATAATTAAGTCATATTTTCCATTATGCAAGGCTGAGTAATTGGATCCTATGGCCCAGCCAGGACAGCCGATTTCTTTTTGCACGGCCATATGAAGTGCGATTTGCAAGTTGAGTTTTATTCCTTTTTAGTTGAGATTCCTTTGAGAAAATGCCTTGTTTCGTGTTTGAATATATAATACTATAAGAAATTTTCTCAAATATTCTTGAATATGGGTACGGAGGCTTCTTTAAATTGCATCAACAGTTGTGGCCTGGTTTGACTATGTAGTTTACAAAAAGTTAACGACCAGGCATAAAAAATAAACAACAAAGAAAATCTTTTCAATCCCAATGGTAATTGCAGGGGAGATGCCATGCCAGGCCGAGGTTATACGCAGCTCTAATATTTCATCACAAAGCAAGCCCAACAAGCATATAGGCATGAACCCATTGTGTTTTTTTATTTTTCATTTAAGGAAGATGCCATTAAGTGCTTACAAATTTTTATTTAGAAATCCAATGTCAGATATTCAAATTTTTGCAATAATACATGTCATAATATATAGATTTATAAACAAACTATTAGACATAATTTAAGAGTTATCAAAATTTTTTTAAAGTGTGATTGATTATTTTAATTGAATTTATCTCATTTTAAAAAAAAATTTCAAGCTTAACTCGGATATCTTTTAAAAAAATATATTCTAATATATGAAATAAGAATTAGATCCGAAAGTTTGGTAAATTAAATATTATCAAACTATTTTAAAAACAATCAATAAAATCTTTTAATAATTTGATAATATTTTATTTTGATACATATCACCCAATAGTTTGCCAAGATTTTTATTCAAAAATTTATTCATAAATTTTTTTGAAATAACCATTAAAACTTC